TACATGTAGCTTTGAGTGCTGCTTACTTCCAGATTGTTCATCTGTTAGGACTTGTTGTCATGTTTGTCTCTACTTCTAAAATACCTTTAATTTTGTTTTCGGTCACTGTTCATGTAAGTGTATGCCACAGAATTCCTTTTTGTCATGTCTAATGTCAAGTTGTTTTTTCTCACCCCTGCCCAGGTAACGTTGCTCTTCCCACTATTTCATGAGCACGCCAGTCCTCAGAGGGTCCAAGATGGCGAGGCAGAACCCCAGCTGATATTATCAGACATTAACGATTACAACCGCAGGTTCTCAGGCCAGCCAAGATCTGTGGGTACACTGCAAACAGATACATATTACTGCTAGAAACAGTTTTGTTGTCCTGTTACAACAGTTATTCAAATATGCTAATAGCAGTATCAAAACTATGCTTCAGTATTAAAACTTAAACACAATTTTCTTATTAATTTTTCTCCGCACTCTGTAATCTGTGGCTCTGCTGGTAAAAGATACAAGCATGCAAATGAGATACTGACTTGTGCTGTGCATTATAATCAGGGGAGTGTAAATAGAACTTCTCATAATATTTTCTCTCCTCTGTCTTCTCAGTATATGGACAGGCTGCGAGATGTGCCCACCCTGCTTCGTCATGCCTTCAGGGAGATGTTCTCTGTGGGTGGCCTCTTCTGGATGTTCAGGATTCGAATTCTTCTCTGCCTAGTGGGAGCACTCACCTACCTGGCCTCGCCGCTCGACATCCTCCCTGAGGCACTTTTCGGCCTCCTGGGATTCATGGACGATTTCTTTGTGATCCTGCTTCTCTTTGTTTACATCTCTATCATGTACAGAGAGGTGGTTACACAAAGACTGAATGGCTAGGTGTTGACTCATAAAATTCGCCTTGGCTTGCTCATTCCAGAATCGGAAAGAGTGAACGCAGCATCTGTGGTGGACATTGACAGTTGATCAATAATGCTGGTTCTCTCAGAGAGGTTTACTTTGAATCCTGAGATGTGACTTAATCATCGGAGAGGGGTGAACTCTGAATGTTGACTCTGTGTATAGAAATCATAAAGGTTCATAGATTGAATGACATAGAGGCGACCAACAATACGGCATAAGGATGGCTGCGTCTGGCTCTATCAGACTCTGCAGTAGGCCTGGGAAATTGTTTTGGTCCATTCACTTGAACGACCAGAATTACTGCCAGCCAATTCTATGACAGCATTGCCAAAAGCAGGTATTTGGTCAATGTGCGTATCATCATAATGGAGACAATTGTGTAACATAACGTGATCTTGAATGTACTGTATTAATGGCAGTGTCTTGATTATGTGCATTTAAAGATCCAGATTGTTCATTGACAAATTTGTTTTACTGGAACCACCTTACTGCGACTACTACAGCCTGTTTGGCCAATTAAACTGATGATGCACTTATTTCAGTAACCTATGCATATTCATAATGACTTGAAAGGCACTTTTCATGCTTGTATGGAACTCACTGAATCATTTTACTCCCAGCTGTTTACATTTATTGATCAGTTGCTGAAATCTCAACCTTTCTGCATGTGTCCATGTGAACTGACGACGCACAGGACAACCTGACTGTTGCATGAGAACTCCTCAGTTGGCAGATAATTAATCCTAAAAAGAAGGCAACCCAAAGGTGTCAAAGAGCACTTAAAGGTCATGTTGAATGTAAACTTGCTCAACTTGTGAATGTTTACTTACCTTGCCACTTAAAGATAATGGTGAGTTTGGATCTTTGTCTTCTGTACAGATCTTACAGTCTTAATCAGGCTCAGTCACAAGACTTTTTAGATTCTCCAATAAATTTTTGGAACATTAATGTCCTACTTAACCTGTTAGAAAAAAAGTTAACATTTAAAAATGAAATGTTAATGTTAAATTACTGTTTTCTCAGTGGTGCTGGCTTTAAAGAGAGCAACATAACAGTTTCAGTTCCCCATCAGAATCGCTGTCTGGCACCAAGGTAAAGTGGTTAAAATATTCCAAATATAGTGTACACTTGAGACTTTTTTAGGTGGGTAAAATGATTTTATTGCTCAACCCTACACAGCAGTACATTGCTTAGCTTCTGTGCCAGTACTCCTGTCTGCTTCTCCAAATTGGTGGCATGCTGATTGCCATCTACTTTATGTAATACACTGACTATGGATAAGCACCTCATTCAACCCTGCTTCAAAAGATTTGAACTTTCCCTTTAAAATCTTGTACAGTCTATGATCCAGTTCATTTTATTTGGTAAATATTTTGTAAAGGATATACTGATTTGGAAACCAACGTTTTCTCGGACTAGGTGGGTGTAAAATGAACGAAGGGGATCTTGGACTGTTGAAGGCGATCGATTGGAGAGCTCTGTTAAGGACTTGGTCCACAAAGTAAAAATGCAGTTTTTATTTTCAACCGTTTCAGCTGGTGACCCCTTTATATTTTTATTACATTATTAGTTTATCACAAGAGAGGCCAAAAATGATTATTTATTTTGTGTGGAGGAAGCAAAGTAGAGACAATCAAGAGTCTTCTATTTGTAGATTTATATTTTTCCTGTTCCTGCCCCCCAACATTACTGCCAGTCCATGTGGGGTCCTGACCCCTGAGTCTGAAAATGACTGCTTCAGAGTGGTATCTGAAACTGTATCCAAACCATTTGCTTTCTTGGGACTCTATTTGCTGAGCATGGACTGGCCTTCATGTTTATGAATAGTAGAAGAAGATGGAGGCTGAGGCTCGTGTTGCAGATCAACAGTCAACTGTAAAATTCATTCAGTTTGTCTGACAGCCTCAGATCACCTAAAACAGGACCTTCAGTCTTCTGTTGGAATGTCCTATTTCAAGCTGCAGCACATACCGGTCTGTGTCATGCCTTGTCCCTGTCGTTACGGATTAACGTCTCTGGGGCGTTTGAGCAACCGCCACCCTTTTGTTTTTGATAGCCAATCTGAAGCTAGTGACAGCAACATGTGTTGTGAATGCATCTGGTGCTCTCCAGCTGAGAACTGGTTAGGTGAGAGTCTTGTCCTGGTGGGAAAATACTGTGAAGGCTTTAAGAGTCAGTGCATTGGTGTGATCTGCATAGGGATTCCCCCTAAAAACAATTTTGAAAACACAGCTCCAGTGTCAGTCTAGATACTCAACATCACTATTAATTGAGTTTGATGGTCATGTGATGCTCCAGAAAAATCTGTCCAAGCATCATACAGACTCTACAGTCTCTGAGCACAACCTCCCATCTTTGCACAGAAGTGAGTCAGCTGTGCACTTTCCCAAAACTTGGCTCTGACGCTTCAATAAAAGGGAGTAGATGAGACTGTTATTCATACTGTAGACCACCTCCATTTTGACTGTAAATCCATGGCTTAATTTTTTCCTGTTATTAACGGAATATTATTTTAGAGAGCTGAAGATGTAACATCCAGTAATTAACGAGAAGAAGCACAGATTTGAGGAATTTAATTTTGTGTAGCATAATTCTGTTTTCTGCTTTCCTGTGCTAGTAATTATCTCATGACCCCTCAAATTTACCTTGCTACCCAGGTTGGGAACAACTGCCCTTATTAACTATTTTGGGTGACTCCTAACATTTAAATGTTATTTGTGCTTACAAAGACCATTAATGTATTTTCTTTCTCTGCTCCTGCCACAAGAGAGCAAGCCTAGATTACAGGTAGGGCTGAGTACTGTTTAGGAGATTAAGATACCAATACCCCTGAAGTGATACTGTTACCAATGGAGCACTGAATTTAAAACCTTTCGTTTCTGCTTCATTCAGTACCCATCAGGGGAATGTAAGCATTCAGTTGTATAAAATGTCACCACACATCACAGGTGCGTAGTATAGCCATACTTGATAACGTTTTGGTGGCATCTAGGCATGCTTGACTGAAAATGTGTTGTAGCTGCTGCAGTAGTAGGCCAACCACATGTTGCATTAAATCAAAGCATGCTTGCGGTGATTGGCTGTGAGCAAAACCCTACCAAAAGCTTATTTTTTCTAGATCTGGATTCAGAAAGGGGAGGCATGGTGTTACCGCCTCACAGCAAGAGGGCTCTGGGAGCTCCTTCTGTGAGGAGTTTGCATGTTCCCAGAGTTCTTTCGCTGCCTCCCAGTCCAAAGACTTACAGGTTAGTCTCTGTTAGTCCCTATGGGTCAGCCCAGTGATAGTCTGGCAACCTGTCCAGGATGTACCCTGCCTCTCGCCCAGTATCAGCTGGGATAGGCCCTAACACACCCACAACCCTGAACTGGAAAGGCAGTTATGGACAATAAATGAATGGATTCAAAAGGTGTCAGATACAGGTATCGTTTGACTTTAGAAGTTTTAGTGTTGGGTTGTTGTGGTCGATACCTTACAAGCAAACCCCTAGTGATACCTTATAGGTATCAACAGCAGTGTAGTTGAGGATTTATGCAGGCACATGGGTATACCCTGACTTTTTATGGCTATTTACAGGATACCTACCTATCAGCCAAAAAGCCATTGCAATATAAACTAGTGTATACCCACTTCCTCCTCTGTAACCCACCCATCTTCCAAGGTGGACACCCATGTCATCACCTACCACTGTACCACTGGGTATAGATACCCAGCCCTAATTAGAGCACAAAGAGGCAACAGGGGCCCAAATTGTCTTTGTGGCACTTAGACTACTTTGTGGTTATTTGATGATTTTTTGTTTATATTGGCCAAAGATTTCCTCAGCATTTTTCCCTAAACATGAGGCTCTGTTTTGTGGAGGCTCGTTTTTGCTCCAGGTGAATTCAACCCTGTAAGCAAGTGCCTTTTTTTTTGCTTCTGGAGGAGCTATAAGAAAATACACTGCACAGTCAACACCTTTTATGTGTCATTCAAGGCCATCAGCAACATTTCTTTGAGTTTTTTTCCTTTAATAGTGGGAGTTTTCCTTTATGCGTTGCAGACTCCGCCCACACAGCCCTCCTCTGCCAGACGCCGGACAAGCGAAGCAGCGAACCCGACTATTGGCCGACGGATTGCGAGACACCCAGAGATCTCGGGAGTACATGAAGCCGACTGTTAACTTCAGGCTCTGTTCACCACACAAAGTCGGTTTACGTTAGGTAACGATGACTACAACGGGGTCCTTGGATCGAATGGAGTTGTGTGAAAGCCTCCTGACATGGGTAGGTGATAAAATATGAAGTTTTGGGGGGTTCTTTCCACTGACAGACGGTTCTCCGGCGCCGGCGACGCTAGCTAGCATACAAAGCTAATGCTAGCTCGGTTAGCTAGCGGGCGAGCATTAGCATGCTAGAGGAAAATGACACGGGCTCCCGTTGGTTACGTATGCAGGCCAGCTGTTTGCTGCTTTAGCTGCTGATGTGTCGCCAGAAAAACACCTACACTGTCAAGATTGCAATTTTGGCGCTAGCCCCGTACAATAGGGTATTTATTTAGCTTGCTCAACTTTTCCAATGCTCTTTTGTATCTTGTAACGAAGGGGATCAGACGGCAGAGACGTTGGCCTTGTTATGGTTCACCGCTTCTTTAGCGAAGGCTTTTTTCCTCTGGATTGAGCCGAAAACGCTACAGCCTGGTGTCTGCTTTGAGTCTGAATTCCTGTCATTGTTGACTAGTATGTCAGCATGTCCGCTTTCCCTTCCCCATTCCTCTCGATCAGACACGTCAAAGACAGGGTAGCCTCCTTGGCTTTGATACATATCGTCGACGTTACCCTGGATGTTTCTAGTCTTGCTTGCAAACAGATATCAAGTGGGAAAAGGCACTAGGTTGCAGGATCACATGCTACCGATTGGTGCATGTTTACGTTGTTTAGTGCTTTGATAAACATAGAGCAGACGTGGTTGAAGTCTGTGAAGAAAATGCTGATGTAAGTATGATATCCACTGGTCATGCCGCACATCTGAAGAGTGACATGAATCCAGAAAAGTCCAGAATCTTACTGATAAGGAAAAATGTATTTGTGATGCTTTACTCAGATGTCAGAACTGTGAATGGATTTGCTGACATGGCATGTGATGGAAACTTTCAATCATGCTTGAAATTATAACAGATTGAAACTGAGGAGTAGGTCTCTCAGAGTGTGTGTGCTAACAGTGACATTTACATGCATCACTGTCGCCCCCTCCTCTTATTGTCACAGCTTGGCTCATGTATGGCAACTCATTTCTTCATGTTCCTAGTTGATGTGGCTGGCAGACATTCCTCACATACCTGTTTTCTGTGAAGTCACAGCAGTGAGAGAGACTGATTGTAACTAAAGCGCATGAGATTGTACTGTATCTCTTATGAAACAGCAGTGGAGATAACGAGGCAACTGTGTCTGCATTAGTGCAATAAGAGGTCCGAGTTGTTTTGATTGAAGGGATACTGAAAAACTCAAAGCTCCGTCTAAGTAGTGGCTTATTCGTTATATTATATCATATAATAAATACATTAATTAAAGCAATATAAGAAGCCACAGTACTAAGTTAGTGTATTTATGATTGTAGTATTTGGTCAGAATGGCTGTCTCATCCACATACATAATGTGATGCTCCCCTTAATAATATTCTGTTCAAATAAAAGTCTTCTGGCAAAATAAGTTCAGCATATTTTGCTTAACTTTTCTTTTAGATGTGATTTAACACGAGCAGCCACACAAGAAATGAATAGTCTGAAAATTGCCAAAAATGTCAATTTAAAATCAGGGTGTGGGTAGAGGAATAACCAAGATTACCATTATGATCAGACAGTCAAAGCTTTTGGTACATCAGTTTTTAATTCTCCGTCTTTTCAGTACCCAGTCGTTAGTATTCCTGGTTGTTCATCATCCAACCATAAAAGTATAAAGGACGTTTTAGGGGTTGCAATCAAGGTATCATACCTACACCAAGGGACGATACGAAACTTCCATGTAACAATTTTCCTGGCTAAAATAATTGCGATTCATGATATTATCTTCATATGTTTGCTTATAACTCTTAAACTGGCACTAAAACATACAGGAAATCACTTAATGGTACATTTTGTCAAGAAACATATTTCTGTTGTATCACAGATAAGGACACACATTGTTTAGGGAAAAACAATTTTAAATAGCGTTTGCAGCCTTTATTTGCAGAGTCTCTTTATCATTGGTTGCCCAGCAGTCTCAGGGTGCTACAGGACATAATATTCTTGATTATCCAGATAATGGAAATTCACCTCAATTAACTTGTTGTGAGTGTTTTTTATTGCCATCCAAGATAAAATTGTAAATCAACCCATCCTGACCTGTAGGCATGACTCATTTCATGGTATCAGTGTGGAAAGTATATCCAGATGTCAGCCAAGTACCAGTTAGTCTTTGACGTGACTTTAGAGTTTATCTGCTGTCAGACATTTTTTTCATCCAGTGGCTCTTGCCTGTTACGTAAACCCGTTTGTCTAATAAGATAACGAGATGCAAGTGATACACCGACATCTCATGACACCGTAGTCAGTCACTGGACAGAAAATACAATTTTTCCTTGTTTACCAAAATCTTTGTGCCTAGAATAGTATATTTGTTATCCAAGAAAAATATTGATTTCAATTAAGCAGAGTTCTTGATATGGCTGTAGCTGCATAAACTGTCTTGTAATTACACATTGTGCTTCAATTAAAGTAATTAAGCATTTCCTACAGACAAGACAGCTTAAAAAGAATCATGTCTGACATTTATGGCTCACTCATGCCTTACACTGTAATGATGCGCTGCTTGCACATCACCAAAGCGACTAGGTGCATTGGTTGCATTGTGGCGTGGTTATTTTTGTAGTACATATTTTTGTAGCTGAAACCACTTCAACGGGCACCACATGCACATTCACTGTTCCTCTCAAAGTTGGCACGAATGGCATTGGTATGCTGTTCTTCCTTTAGGAGAAACACATATAATCAAACCTAAGAGCTGACTGATGCACTGCATGATGCAACCCTAATGTGGACATACAATTTAAAGGGACAAGTATCCACTTCACAATGATCACCAGTCCTAGTTGGGTGACACACACTTTTTCCACAGCTCGATAGTATCCTTTCCGAACTGTTTCCACAAACTCTTAGGTGTGGGTTTCCTTTTTCAGGCTGCCCTGTCTGATTTGTGTATATCCATAGTGTCAGTATTTTCATGGATATTGTTTTTGTTTCACTGGTTTAAGTCTGTGGTTTTTCATAAATGAACACAGACTAATTTCTAATAGATAAGAAATTTAGTTGACGCTGAATTTCTCGTGTTTATATAGCCTACTATTTTGTGGCCCTGTGTGTGCTGCTACGAAATTGTTGTCCATTGTACAAACTGTTTAGGCCTCATACTGTCAGAAATTGTCATTTTTCAATGAAGGTATTAGTTTTAGAGGACAATCCCCATTGTAATCCAGGCAGTGTCTCTTGAACGTCTTTCAGTTAAACTCCATTGAGCTCTCTTATCTGCCCTTTTATCAGATTGCTATGGATGACGTGATCAAAGCAGCCTGTATGTAATCTGGTAAGACTGTGGTACATGAGCAAATCTTGCTGAACTAGAACTTCAAAATCCCCCAGATCACATGATGCTTTGTTTCCAGATTAATTGGTTTTCAATCATCACATTGCAGTTTACAGACTTGGATTGGGCACTTACAGGACCTAAGATACTGTGCAGATAAAATAGAATAAAATGTTCTGCAGTTGACATTCTGTAATCTGCGATAAAGAATATGCTGCATAACCAATATTTTGTGGTTTCAGAAGTGGTTGATGTTGACCTCCTTTTACTCGGCAGTTAGTGCTTCAAGGTTTGGTGATTAATATATCATAACAAACTGATTGGGAGGTGGTCATGATGACATGCAGGACATGGCTTAGCCCAGAGCTGTCTGCGAAGACTGCTGATGTTATAGCTGAAATCAACAACAAGTGAATATCTCCTATTAATCCCTTTACACTGTGGGCTGCAGGCCATTGACCTTTGGCCCCAGAACAACAGCTCAAAAGTGTAGCACAAGGAATAAACGTTGCCAGAAGACATTGAGTTTCAACACTGTATTTATCAAATTATCCTAATTGGCAGCTTGATTCAGCCAGCAAAACTAATTATCCATGAATTTAGAAACTTAAATATAGATTCTCGTACATTTCAGATGAATGTCTCGGGGAAAAAAAGGTTTTTATTTTTATAATCATGTTGATTTTAATAAAATGGTCCAGATCTCATTGGGCGCTAGGACAATCAGCTATCATCAAAGGCCAATTGACAGTTATGGCCATGTCTTAATGCACCTGATTTCTGATTGGCATTTAAGGCATTGAGTGTGACACAAATAATGAACCCCTAAAAGTGCATTTTATGTTCCAGCAGTAATTAAAACAGAGCTGGCAAAAGGGGGGCTTCTTTCACAGATAGCTGGTGCCTGCACAATGTCCTACACGGCATAAAGCAACTCACCAGCACTGCTCTACTGTGGCTTTTCAAGAGATGTCACATGGGCATATGTTCTGTTTGAAGGCTTTGTAATCCAGTGGTATGTATACCACAGGTTTGTTGACCTAACATGCAGTCAAGCATGAGGAGCTTATGTGGCCATGAGAACCTATTGCGGACAATACTTGGAAAGGGTGTAAAAAAAAGCCACGGAGCCCTGTTAAAAGTGGACATGATACTGTCGGTCGGTCAGTCTACGAAATGTGACAGCTTTGGGCATGTTGGACCCCAATTACCTGAACTCATCAGCGCCAGCTAACATAGGTGTTGGTTCATGTTCAGACCTGATATTAAGCTCCAGTCAAGGGCCACTGATTCATTTCCTCCTCAGACAGGCTTTATTACAGTCTGTAGAGAGCTGTAGACTGGTTGTCATGCTGCCATGTTTGGAGAATTGTGTCTGTCAAGGCCTTTGTGGGTCGTCTGTGTGTTTGTGTGGGGCTCTGTTTTCTTTCCTGCCACCTCCTTCCTGCAGAAGGAAATGATGCAGACCAAATGTTGCTGTGGTGGAGAGCCATCACCATTTTTACCATGTTGCTCATTTCGATTTATTTTAGCACTGTGGCACTCCAGGAGAAAAGGAGTCATTTCTCGGTGTCCCAGCTAGTGTAATGTATAATTTTGTGTTCCTTAGGTGTTTATAATGTGTTTGTATGGTGTTTCTGACCTGAAATGCCAATTTAATGCAACATTATTTGATGCCTATAGTTTCGTCACGCCATCCGCTCTAATGTGTATTAAGTTACAGTGCCATTTTGCTTGCCAGTATTGTGTTCTTGTATGTAAACACAGGAAGTCAGCATAGTAACCCACTCTATAAGATAATGTGGCATCACAGGAAAGCGTGTTTTTTCATTGTGGTCAGACCAGCCATTAAAAATAACCCCATACATATGAAGCCATACATCCTCTTAGGTCTCTAGTTTGTGTTCTTAAAGTTTCCTGAGGCCATTTTTATCCTGGAGGTCACAGTAGGTCATTTTACACAGTGAGGGCACAGTGGTCACAAATGGCTACTATAAGAACTAACAAAGAATGGGAGTTGGGCTGAATCGAGAAAAGTCTCAGCTTTACAGTCACACCTGATATATGCAATTCTAAGACTGTTTAAGGACCCTTGTACATGTATGCAGAATTTTAGATGTTAAAATATTTTAAAAATGGCGAAGCCACTTTTTACCCTGCCCAAATTTAGCCTAATTTTGGAGCCTAATTTAGCACCTTCCCAACAAGATAGCATGACATAGTAGGCACTAATATATGTCTTAGGTCATTTAGTATTTTCACTCTAACTTAAAAACAGAACCTGTTACAGCAGGTTTTATTTGCTAGTCTGCCTAGCATCTCACCTTTGCAACATTCAGGTTCACCTGTCACACCTGGTGCTTCTTCACATTTGTTTGGGTCAGAAATTTGGCCACTTTTTGTTCTCTCTGTACTCTGGCTTTGTTTTTAGCCCTGGATTTTTGGTGTGTTTTAATGATGACAATCATGCAAACACATAAACTTTGTAATGTCAGTGATTAGGGCTGCCCCAAGTTTTAAGTCGAGCAGATTATTATTATTTTCTTTTTTGCCAGTTACAGTTAGTGTGCAGTGCATTCCCGGGGATTTTTCGCTCCCCTGGTTTTGCTGCAGAGTGAGCGCTTCTCACTGTCACGCTGCTCTTTGATACAGGCTGCTGCATACACAGGCGCAGCTGCATGAAGGAGGAGAGGATTTACTGTGTAAGGTTCTGAAATGACTTTATTTTCCAACTTCTGCATAGAAGTGTTGAATTTATAGCTCACAGCAACCTAATACGATACAGTTTGGCTTCTGTTTAATATCTAGTGTTTGCAGAACTGTTGTTGCACATATCTGACTGCCGTTAGCATCGTTAGATTCATCCCACTGAACCTTGTTGAACTTGAAGTGATATTCGTATTCAGCATCCAAATCTGATTTGTCTGGCATAATCCTGAGTTGGGTACAGTGCTATCAGTGATACAAGTAAAGTAAATTATCGTACTTGATCCCATTTAGACCTTTGCACAGGCCCCCCTTGGTCCTTAGGCTGATGTAATTTGACCCCCTGATTGTGGTATAAAGTATACATTTTAGACTGTAGTATACATTTGGCAGGGTAATTGGAGCAGGTAAGATTTTCTCAGTGTCTCACTTGTCACTGTAGTGTTATGTAATCAGGGGTATTGTTTTGTGTTGGCTCTGGGCCAGTGGTTGGCTTGAGCTCCTGGCTGCCTACTAAACAGAGGAGCTATCTCATTGATGCATGACTACCTAAACAAATTGATAGCTAGTTAGTAGGAATAGGAATAATGATACAGATATTTTTAGATCAGATGTAGGATGGTGTCATCTGGTTGACAAGGCAGTCATTTGAAAGCTGTCATACACACAGTCATTCAGAAACAATGTAGGAAACTTTGAGCAGACGTTTGTTGTTAGGGTAAGAACTGGATCTGAACTACCTTTGGGCATTTTTAACTGCTTTTTTTGTTGTTGGATCAGTTTTACATAAGACATAAAGGTAAAAAGGCAAACAACTTAAAGGTTCACATTTAAGCAGAGGTAGTACATTTCATGTCAGCAGTTAAAACATTTTAGAAACATTTAAAAAGCACATTAAGGTTATATGAAGACGATGGAAGTGTGGCTGTTGTTTTGAGTGTCATGGTGTGTCCTGTGTACAGTCTCGAATGTCCTCTTCTTCACCTCTTTTTTAAAATCTGCTCAAAACAAATACTCATATCATGGTGACACAGCAGTCAGAGATGATGTTCTTGCATCATGTTTATTTTAAGAAGATTTGTTCTACAGCCAGTAGTTTTATGGCGGTGAAGACAGCACCAAGTCAAATGACATATTATTGCCAAGCCAACACTTGCACCCGATTTTCTTCCAGTCATATGAACTTTGACTGAGTTGTTTGTTGGATGGAAACAATGACAGGCTCAAGATACGAGCTCCTGTGAATATGTGCATATATTAACTTAAACACTGCTCGGTTTATTTCAACCCAGTTTCTTCATGCAGATTCAGGATAAACCCTTCATCCGGTATATAACCTGTGTTCCTGGTTTATGATTGGCTTCTCATACCAGTTGGCCAATCTGCAGAATCTCGTGTGCTCTTGGTAAATCTGTGAATAAGGGCTTAGGAGCTGCACGTTGAGCCACGTAATGAAAAGTGAGACCAATGGATTGACGCGCAGGCAGAATTTAAACCTCGTCATTTTCTTCCTGTCAGAATTCCACCGTTCCTGCTCTCAATTTCCCCTCCTTTGGCACATGGAATGCTGGCATGTAGAAAGATATTCACTTCTATCTGAGCAACAGACATTCAGCCTGGAGAAAAGCGGTAGAGAAGGATATGAGGGATGGAAAGTGAACAATGACATGTCACGAAGACGGCTACAAGTGAGGAAAAAAAAGATCTGAACAAAGTGATAGAGGTGATGTAAGAGAAACTGAGCAGTTATGACAAGCAAAGTTCAGAGGAAGTTTACAGGCACAGTAAGTGGGAGCTGCATACTTGTGACTGTATTTATTTTGGCCTTCAGAGAGCTGCTGGAGGAAGATACCATCAAAGTTCCAATTTTGTAGCTTGTCATGTGAAATGTGAAAACTGTGTTGAATGTTGTAAACAGATTATATTTACTCAGAGTTATTGCACAGTTTGATCCTGCACCAAGAGCTCAATGTGTGTGTGTCTGTTTGATTTTTAGATCCAAACCTTTGGGGTGGAGGCTCCGTGCAAGACAGTAGAAGATTTGACGAGTGGTATAGCCATGGCCCAGGCTCTACAGAAAATGTAAGTTGTCATCCTTAAGTTTGGGGTATTAAAAATGCTTCATTTGTTGTATCCTTTGCATTTTTGATGGCATGTTTTGCTATTCCTATGCAAACTGAATATACCAGAATGTACTGTAAATATGATTTTCACTAATATAGACACATATCTGTCTTGATTTTCTAGAGACATAGTGTATTTTAATGACGCTTGGATTAGTAGAATCAAGCCAGAGGTTGGGGACAACTGGAGGTTAAAGGTAAGTGTCACACACTCTGTTTAATTACTAGGTGTACATGGTTTGGGGTTTTGTGAGGCCAGTTTCTACATTAGCACAGGTCCAGTTTTCCAAGCACACCTGCAAAGCTCAGTACGGGAACCGACCTGTCATTCGTAGTTATCTCAAGTCAAATCCAGACCTTTCCAAATTGTTAATATAAGTCTTGCAACCCAACCCGTGATTAAACACATCGTTTTGCCATTACGCCGCATAATGTACTGCTCTGTTCAGATGTGCAAAGCACCCGCTCAGTCAGCTCCCACCTGTTGGTGATGCAGTGCCGATCTTGAGAGCCACCTTGGGTTGACAAGTCCTCATGTGTGAACAAGCCTACGAGCAAGTCGCCCCCTTCTCTGCGACTGGGATTGGATACCTGGCATGCCAGAAAACTGGAGAAGTGTGACACGACTGACAAAGAGCATCAGCCAATGTGAGGCGGGATACGTCCCACATCAGCACGCAGGAGGATGGAAGAAATGTGAAGAGGACAAGCCGCAGGGTTGCCACTTGCCAGGTCCACTTATTAGCCGCGACTTTAGGCTTGTTTCTAAAGTGGAGTTGCTTATTTGGACTTGCTCTCTAAACGTCACCTTCCTCTATATATGCCCGTCTAATAAGTTATTTAAACGCATGATAGTATGTCGGGCTGCAGTCGCTTCTTTTGGGCTTGTTTCCATAGCCCTGGTTGCTTGTTTCTCTCCCAAGATGTGGCAACACTGACAAGCCGGCAAGCAACAACAACAATGGCGGTGTCCACAGGATCATGGGGAGCGTGTTGTGTTTGGACCCAGGATGATAAAGAATATCCATGCCTTTATGATGCGTCGTCTCCAAGTTTGGTGACGTCACCGCATTATATGGGGCTCTGTCGGAGAGGGCTCAGTGGAGAAATCTTGTGCACACACACAGGTTGTAACGCAGTTGGCGAGACTCCCGCTGACAGAAACGCATGTCGCCAGGTATGAACACTCAAAAGATTACGATAGTCTCCGCGACGCAAAATCTGGGTGAAAATCGTGTAATGTGAACTAGGCTTAAGTGACACAAAGACCAATTTTACAGTAATCCTCTGTCCCCATATCCAAGGTAACTGCCCCGTGGCGATCAGTCAGTTGCATCCTCAGCTCCACAATGATGTTTTGTTGAACGTCCTCCGTGCATTTTGTCAGTCTGCTGCGTGATCCGGTCGTACAATCAGGCAGAAGCTACTGAGCATCCATACGGGGAGCTCAGGCACCTGATTATTTTGTTACTTTGTCACATTTTAATAAGCATAGATCAGTTATCTGTGTTTCAACCTTGTTGTGAGTCGCCTGAAGTACTTTAAACTCTGGTTCAGTCTAGCCTGTGTCAGTATTTATAATGTTCTTGGGATACCTCTACATAAATTCTCTCTTCTTTCAGATCAGCAATCTAAAGAAAATTCTGAAAGGCATCCTAGACTATAACCAGGAGGTAAGATGATCAGCACCCAGCATCCAGATTACATAAGCAGTTGTGTCGCTAGTACGAATGAGTTGTGGCTGCCCAACACTACCCTTAATCCCTGCAGCACAACACAGGCCAGGATAATCCCGTTTTCATTTACTGATATTTTGTGATTATTTAAAATATCTTTTAGATCCTGGGCCAGCACATTAACGACTTCACACTACCAGATGTTAACCTTATCGGAGAACACTCTGACGCAGCAGAACTTGGGAGGATGCTGCAACTTATACTGGGCTGTGCTGTCAACTGTGAACAGAAACAAGGTACATATCCCATACAGTGTGTGTTCTTGTCAGTGTGTGTGTATGTGTATGTGCGTGTGCAAATTTGATATTGGAAAACAATGTTCTGTGATATCGCATTGCATAAACAGCTGAGTCAGAGGCCTGAATTTGCCCCATCATTGTGTCTGTTTCTCTGTGTCCTCTAGAGTACATCCAGACCATCATGATGATGGAGGAGTCAGTGCAGCATGTTGTCATGACAGCCATCCAAGAGGTGAGCTAATAGGCTGTTTGACCTGTTATCAAATATACATAATAATAAATGATGAGAGTAGGACAGGCTTTTAACAGAAGCAGGGTTGCAGGTGTAGAATTGACACCACAGTCCCACTCGCTGGCGTCATTATCACTGAACCAAGGTGTACCAAGTGTGCAAGTTAACTTCTTCCAGCCTTAAAACCTTTTCTTTATGTGTTTCTGCAGCTGATGAGTAAAGAGACTCCAGTGACGGGAGGAAACGACTCATATGTGGATCTAGACAGACAGGTATGTAGACTTTGTAGAACCCCACTGTGGCACCTTTTACTGCATTTCCGTTTTCTAGCAGTGCCATCAGACACACTAAACTCTTTGAAATCACTCACAAACACCCTCTCTGAATTTTCACTGAAACCTCAAACACATAAAATGTACTCTCTATAAAACTTGACCCAGATTTCCCTCTTAACCCATTTCACCCTCCTATTTTTTGGCCACAGACCTGTCAAACAGCTGGATCTGTGGAAAAGCAGACACACTTTGGCGCTGTTCATGCATTACTGTACACCATCTGCAGGGTTTTTATTTCTTCTTTCTTTTTGTTCCCAGCTGAAGAAGACAGTAGAGGAGCTGAACGATGCTTTGGCTACTAAGGAAGAGATCGCCCAAAGGTGTCGTGAGCTTGACATGCAGGTTGGTTTTATGCAGCTCTAATCCTCCATGTTTGACCACTGCTTTTGTACATCATAGCACAGTGTGCAGGGACTCTTATCACGTGTTTAAATGACCTTACTTGAAAGACATAACACCCCCAGTGGGCTTGGCAAGGATGTTGAGGTCGGTTAGTAACCATGGTGGCACGCTGCTAAAAAGTGAGTCTGTGAATAACTGATAAATGGATAATGCTATTTGTGGCTAATTTTTATGACCAGACCCTTTGGTCTGTGTATTTATGGAGCTGAAATTAATTGTTGGACTTCCATCATAGAGTTTCCAAAGTCTTAAACATATTCATCAATAATCAGTATTGTTAGGACAATGTTGCTGTGGCCAAATGTATAATTTGAACTGTTGAGTTTTAGCTCATTAGCCTTGAGCAATTACAGTTGTATAGTGACAACGCAGTTTGAAAATGAAAAGATAAATGAGTGCCTTATGTACAGCATTTGCATGGTTTGCAGTAGGGCTGCCCCCCCCCAAACGTTATTCGGCCTGAAAGGTCATTAGTCGTCAAGATTTCACTGGTCGCTTAGTCGCAGAAAAAACAAACAAACATAAAAAACAAGCATGAAACTAGTAGCTGCGTCTCATAGCTGCGTCTCAAATAAATCAAAACCTATATGACTGGACCATGTGGAAAATTAATTTGAAAGGACAGACACAGGAAGAGGCCACACTCAGCAGTCAGACAGGAGTCACGTTACAAACCAATCACAGCAGACAGATATCTTTCCCTTCTTCTGTAATTATTCAGTCTGATAAATAGTTGATCATGTTAGTGCAGGGCTACCCAGAACTTTACATCTTTTCCATGGACAATCAGCCTACACACTTATAAACAGCGCCTGGAAGAAGGTCAGCTCTGCACTCAGGATTTCAGGTAAATAGGCTGTACGATACGATACTGTCATGCTCTTGAAAGCTGGCACAAAAAAGGCACAACCTTGCGTTTTCCAGGTGGTTAAAGACGCGATGTGTACGGCTCCTAATTTCCAGGGCTGGTACCTGCAGTTATTCCACAGGCTAGTTAATAACATGTCGGGCAGGAAATCCAAAGTGTGGGATCATTTTGAGAAGGTGAAGGACGAACTCAAGGTGATATGTAAACTCATCTTCATTGGTCGGCTACAAACATGATGTATCATCTGAAACATGGAAGTAGCTACATGCCCATTAGCCACTTAGCACAATCATTACTGCTTTGTCGACAGCGTCATTAACAGGCGGCTCGCTCAGTTTGTAACGTGCACTTGTAGATAAAATACAGGCCTATATTAATGAAGGTTCATTAGTACGGTTTGTATTTCTCTGTAAATGTAGCACAGTGTTAACAATGTTACTGATACTATTTCGCCCAAATATATCATTTAATAATTATATTAATATCATAAACATGCAGGCGACTAGTCGACTAATTGCTCTGAATGACGACTATTGGTCGACTTGGAAAATTCTTAGTCGGGGGCAGCCCTAGTTTGCAGTAATGTTAGTAAATTAGATTCAGTATATTCAGACTATACAGAAGAATAACATGGTATAACACGTCTGCCCAATTAAGTTTTATTCTTACTTTTCCTGCTATAACTTGTATCTCTTTCACTATCTGATTGTGTCATACTCAAATTTTTATAGCTATTTTGTGGTTACACTTTAAAAGCAGCTCCCTTTTTTGCATAATTACAAGACATCAAAATCACTGATTAGTTACTTATTACTTTGTCATACTGTTGATTGTTTTTCTTTAACAGTGATAAGCTGTTATCTTCATAGCAGTTGATCATAATGCACACATTTATTCATGTTTATTTTCTGCTAATGACACAGTTATAGCAGGAGAAAATGGAGCTGTATTTAAAGGGTTACCTGCTCTCCCTTTGTGTTAAACCAGTTTCCTCCTGACTATTTCAACACTTGTGTGCCTTGCTTTAAAGGCCCTCCATGTCCAAGAGGAGCGTGATAGACTGAGGTTAGAGTTTAATGAGCTAGAGGAGAGGGTAAATCCAAACTTTCTTTTCTTTCTCTCTTTTTCCATCCATTGGTGTGTGGTGTGTCTAATAGTCCTGGATTTTTTTTTCAGTCTGCTTGCACCAGCATCCCCCCACGGAATCCAGATCCCCCTTCTCCTAATTACGTGTGCATGTATGTGTACACGCGTGCGCACAAGTGCTTGCGCACACGTGTACACGCGGTCCTCTCGGGGCACACCAGCCACAACTGCAGTTTTGTGTGGATGTGTCAGTTGTCACCCCTTCACTAATTATCCTCTGCCTCTTTACCTCAGTGTGTTTCATTGCTTTCCAACAGCAGTAGTAGACAGTAAGGGGAAACCAAGGAAGGAGTCATTTCTTGGCAAAACTGTTGAATACATGTATTATACAAATATTAACACATACTGTATATTATTTATAGGTCCTGTTACTATATTTTGTTATTTTTCAGTACGTTTTTACAGAACCCTTTCCTGGTTTTGAGAATTAAACTGACTCCCACTCTATTTCCTTCTTCTTGAGCTGTCCTGATCACAGCTTTGATGTAGCTTGCTGCAGTGAGAGAATTTTCACACTGGTGCAAGTTCTCGTAGAACGCTTCCACATAACAGTGTTATGTGACAGACAGCAGACATGGCTAATCTGTTAGAAGAAAAAGCCTGATGGAATTATTTTAAAGTCAATATTTTATCGAAGGGTTATTAACTTCATCCTGACAAATTTGCAATCAGTCAGGGTTGAGAAATGATGGCATGTGATAAGAGCTTTACATGCCAGGTAAATAATAAAAGATATTAACGTCAGTTCTTACATGTTTTTTCGAGGTGCATTAGACTAAATTGATATGGCCGCACATTTAAAACAAACAGCTTCTGCTTTGCTTTGTGTGGAGTCTGATACCCTGTCTATCACATTGAGAAGGCGACATCAAACCACATATGTAGCCTTCTTTGCAATGTTGGTTTGTTGGTTTGCCCTGTTGAAGTGTGTTTGGTGTGTGCTGCAGTGATACAACCTAATCTGATGGACTGAATGCTGTAAAGAAAGTGTCACATGTACATTTAAGTAGCTTGAAAGATACAACTTGAAAGCTTTCAGTCATTCAATCCCAACTTATTTCTCTTCTCTGCCTCACTTCTCTCTGTCTTTACATCCCCTCTACACTCAACCATTCCTTTCTGCTCCTTTTTCTTTCTGCTTTTCCATTCTTTTCCCTCCCTTTTCGTTGTCTTCCCCCCCACAGGTGGCTGCGCTGCAGGAGGAGAAGAGCAGTTTGCTAGCAGAAAACCAGGTCCTGATGGAGAGACTTAACCAGTCTGACTCCATAGAGGACATAAACAGCCCAGCAGGACGCAGACACCTCCAGCTGCAGACACAACTGGAGCAACTACAGGAAGAGACCTTCAGGTGTGAAGCTGCTAGAAGGAGAGAGATTGTTTTGTCATATAAATAGTGAGTTTAATTGGCTGATGCTGATATCACAATCGGATTTGAGGTAATGATTATTGAAAATTCTGTCTAGGTTGGAGGCTTCAAAAGATGACTACCGGATCCGTTGTGAAGAGCTTGAAAAGGAGCTCTTGGATGTGAAGTCGCAGAATGAAGAGCTCGCGTCACTAGCTGACGAAGCCCAGTCTCTCAAGGATGAGATGGATGTCCTCAGGTAAGATTGTGATGCAAAATAATGGCTCCCAGTGCACATATTACTTCAGTTAAGCAAACTAAACTGAACACTAAATGAAAGAGAGCGAACAAGAGAGGAGATTCTTATGTTTTGTAGCAATCTGGTTCAGCCCCAGAGAAACAAAATTTCGAGTGTATTAAAAATGATAAACATTGGTGGCACCCATTAAAAAGATCAATATGGCACTATAATTAAAGGTATCCATGATTTGAACAGTGCTGATGGGAAGTGAAAGATGTGTCAGAAAACAGGAAATGGTGCAAAACAAAATAACGTATTGTTTAACCACTATCCTGTTATTTCAGACTCCTGTTGTTGCAGGTGTGTTGCTACACAAACATTGCCTCTGTAAAGCTTCCCCCTCTCCTTTCCTTTCCAAATGTAACAGCTCAAAATGAAAGTGCCTGTTGTTTCCCTTCCAGGCATTCATCAGACAAAGTGTCAAAGCTGGAGGGAACAGTGGAACACTACAAGAAGAAACTGGAGGATATGGGGCTTCTCAGGAGACAGGTACACAGTCACACACAGACAACAGATTTATTGTGACAAGTTCTACTAGATTTTTCTTGCAATACATGAGATAGTGTCCACTGGTTTGACATATAGTTTCAATCCATATCCTTTACTTATTACCCAGTCTAATAACTGGCAATGTTAGACAGCACAAATCAAGTTCACATTTCTGTTGCTATTTTCCAGAATAAGCTAATGGAGGAGAAGAACACAGTGTTAATGCAGACCAACGTAGGTTTGGAAGAAGAGCTACGAAAAGCGAATGCTGCCAAGGGCCAGCTGGAGACGTACAAGAGACAGGTACCCAACTGAGAGCCATGTTGACTTTCACATGTAGTAATCAGTATTTACACGGTCCCAACTTGTAACTATAGCCGTTTCCACCAAGCAGTTCCGTACAGTTCAGTTAGGTATGCTTTTTTTCCATTTCCACTGTGAAAAGTTGTGGATGGTACCAATGGAACTGTTACGTACATCCCCATTTTTGTCCCCCCCTCTGTTGGGGTACCTAGCACACAGATCTGGTACTAAAAGGTGGAGCTGTGAACACTGCAGTCTGTTGATTGGACAGTAGAGGACGGTCACTCTGCTCAGGGCTGAGTTGTGGCTGGTTTTGAGGCTCATGTAACCACTGTTTATACTGTAGAGAGTTTTATTAGTAAACTGTAACTATGAAATGAAAGGGTGTTTTACTGCCTGCTGCTGAGACAAAAACGCGTTGCGGAGCATTGTTCCTGTGGGCTACGGCAGCACTAAACCCCTGAGCTTGCCTTAGTTGGACTAAATGCACAAACCCACTATTTTTAAATATCCCATGGAGAGAGACTCTCACTGCAACCTGTTTATTTTGTTGTACTGGACGGAGCAGTGAGTGACAACAACCCCGTCCACATTTAAGAGTACTGTTTGCGGTGGAAACACTAGGGTGTAGGTACCATGTCTGAAGGGTTACTTTTGGTTCCAAAGATGCCATACTGAAAGTGTTCAGTGGAAACAGGGCTTATGTTACACCACTCACACATGCATATGCATATTCTGAGAGATAATGTCTTCCTATTAATTTCCCTTTCTCTGCACAGGTGGTTGAACTTCAGAACAGACTGTCAGAAGAGTCTAAAAAGGCCGACAGGATGGAGTTTGAGTATAAACGCGTCAAAGAGAAAGTGGACTCTCTTCAAAAAGAAAAAGATGTATGTACAATTTTAATATCATAAGTACTGGTACATTTAAAAGAATGACCCAACAGTGTTGTTTTTACTTTGCAAAAAAGATGTTCATCCCACGTTGCATTTTCTCAGTGTTATTTTATAGATGATATCAAATATATTAAAACCAGAGAAGAAAGGCTGTGTATAACTCTAACATGCTGCATTTTCTGAAAGTTACCAGAGTGGTAGCTGTCCTTACAATTGAGAGATGAATTCTATTATCACATCATACTTTCTGTTCTGCTGTATAAGTTCTTCACACATTTTTCTCTCCCTCTGTAGCGTATGCGAACAGAGAGAGACTCCCTGAAGGAGACTATTGAGGAGCTGCATTGTGTCCAAGCCCAGGAGGGGCAGCTTACATCAAGTAAATAAACAAATTGAAATGAATTAAAGAGTGGCAAAATAGCTGGGTTTACCATGTATTGTGTATTAACGGTGCTGCGTGTTTGTTTCAGGCTTGTTCCCGATGGTCAGCAACGATGGCACTGATTCACTGGCTGCTGAGATCACCACCCCAGAGATTCGGTACAACTTTTGAACCCTACTTTTTGTTTCATTTGGCAATTTAAAAAAGAGAAGATGGTGATAGAGAGCTGTTGGTGTACACATACCAAATCATCTAATGTGTTTATATTCAGTAGGATAGTTAGGTAAATTAATGTAAATATCATGCTTTACAGAGGAAGACATTTTATGGCACTAAATGTTGCAACTTGCATGCTTAACACACATCAGTGCAGATCAGATCTTATGGTAACGTTGCTCATCTTGTTTGTGTGTGTGCACAGTTTTTCTGTGGTGCTGTTGTTCACTTAGTAGTCAGATGGGCTCTGGCCTGTTCCTCTTGCTTGCTCTGCTGTTTTAAGGCAGATGGGTTTGGCGTAAAAAGAGGCGTCTCTGTAGCGAGTTATGTAATAGTTGTGTGTGAGTTACATCAGCCTGTCTGCTGCTTTCCAAGAGGGCTGGGTTTTCTGCTGGATGCATACCGTGCCTGGATTTTTTTTTCAAAACTCATGAACCAAAATAGATATGGATTTCCATTAAAATCCCCTAAAAGCTAGTAAAGGGAGAAAAACACTAGTTGAGTTAAGCCAGTCCAGCTGTTGTGCCCTGAGGTGATGTCACATCCTGAAAGATCATAGAAGGTGGAAGTAAGATGTTGCAATAGCCATGTGTCCTGTGAGATACCTAAAGAGAAGAAATGTCTGTAAAATACAAAATTAATGATGGTTCATGCTCTTTCATGTCTGTTGGTTGTCAGTGCAGCATCCAACAGTGAATGTGAAGAACTGACAGATTGAACCTGTTGTTTTATAAGCAGCATCTGGGATTGATTTCTGCCCGTCCATTTCCTCTGAACTATAAAACAGCCAGAACAACAGCTGGGAATGTCGTTATCCCCTCAATCGACTGCAGAAATTGGAAATTATTTTTCCAATAAGTTATCTTGGAAGCTTTTCTCACGTCTTCCTACGCCTTCCCCGGCCTAACCTTTGGTCGCCAGCAGCTGTGAGTTCTTCTGGAAACATTTAGTCAGTTCTCCAGTTGGAGAGAAGTCAGCAGCCACGCCCTAAAAGAACAGCACCCATGAGACAGGCTGTGCTCAACACTATCATACAACAGATCCAATCTAATCTGTTCAGTAAATGGATTGAAAGTATCTCAAATTGCCGAGCTATTCATTAAAATGAATAAAGACATCTGAAACAGACGGATCCTCAGGACACAAAATGAGCGAATGATTAACTCCCAGACTGCCTGAGTATCCAACACATCCTGCTCTATCACATTCTGCAGCATAACAAAGCTGTTGTGTTGCGCACAGTGCTCTGTTTTGTTTTGTTGTTTTATAATTCTCATTTTATGATGCAGAAAAGAGAAATGAATGGGCAACTGAAAATGTGTCTATGGTAATTAAACTAGATTTGTATTGAGAGGAGAACAACACGGTTCAGTGAAAGCTATAAAATCTTGAACCTTTTTACACGGTGTATATTTAACCTGCTGCCACTGCAAATATAAACCTCTTGACTTTGGCAGATCGTACCGCCTCTCACAGTCCTGTTGTAAAGAGGGCCTTTATTGCATTAATGCATTAATGCAAACAGGATAACAGGCTGAATTATGGTAATGTCACGCTAACAACAACAGCACTTCTGGGCAGACACCCGACAATTGATTTGAATTGCAGGGACATGTGAAAGTGGCAAACTTGTTTATTTCTGTTGTCATTTTCAGCTCTAAATAAATAGTGAAACAGTGATAGTGCTTGAGCAACACTTCAACGGTGTCTTGGCAGCAATTCAGCTGGCCACAGTAGTAGTGTGAACATAGCACAATACTTTTAAACCTGCACTGTAAATAAAATCATAGTGTTTCTGTTTCAACTAAAGTTAATTCCCAAACCTAGCGCTGGCTTGCCAACCTCAGTGCTCAACAGTTGCATCAAGTAACCTAATAATGCAAAGCTAACAATCTCAAATATGTTTTTTCTTTGATTACTGAAAATGTAATGAGACATAAAGCTTACTTGTCACCAAACACTTACCACAAATTTGTTCACTTTTGTTGACTGACACGTCGGTCTGTTACAGATCTCCTCCCTTTTCAGATACAGAGTCCAGAGCTGTCTTTGAGCATGTTTGCTCTTGGTCTTCTCCATTCGACTCCCCCATACACAACAAAACTAAACCATGGTCCTTGATATCTCAGCTGTTCCTTTACCCTGTTTGCTCAGCGCTTTCACATGTGTGTGAAGATGATGCAGGGGTTTTCTTCCCACAAGGTGTAAACAAATTGTGTGATTCTGTCTGATACAGAAAGTAAATCAAGTTGTGTAAAGACATAGTTTTATCATCATCAGGAAACAGTCAGTCGGAGGGAACAGTGCGAAGTACAGCTTTGCAAAAGTGGCTTCTCGGTGGAAATCTTAAACATATTTTTAGCTCTGGAGATGGCAATCGCATCAAAGTCAAATACAGCAGTGACAGTAGTCTTCTTGCCGTAAATGTTTTAGTGTTAACTAGACTGAGCCAACAGATGTGTTGCATATATTTGCACAAGAGGTGTATGTAGAATTAATTGAGTGTTCCCAGTGCTAACAAAATTACAATTTCTTACTTTATACAAGGTGATGTTTCACATTTTGTAACCTTGGGCAGATAAAATAAATACATAGAAAACAACACATGTAATAATGTATTCTCACTGGAGGTTTCTTGATAATGCCATCAGACGTTATTTAAAAATTACATATTGAGGTAGATATTCTGAGTACAGGTGTATAATAACCAATATTAGTTGTTTCATCTCTGTGTGATCAGTTATCAGTGGCATTTGAAATTAACACCTGCTTCTGTCCAATGTGTTGTTACAGAGAACATTTGATTCGTCTCCAGCATGAAAACAAGATGCTGAAGCTGGCTCAGGAGGGATCAGACAATGAGAAGATTGCACTGTTGCAGAGTCTACTGGAGGATGCCAACAGAAGGAAAAATGAGCTGGAGACGGAGAACAGGTCAGCAAAGAGCACAGAAACATGCAGGTTGAATTGTTTATTGCATTTGCAAAATGTAATAAAAAAATGGAGCAAAGAGACCCTTATTCTACCCTGAATCTTTTAGTGTGTAGTTTTGAGAGCCACAGACAGATTGTGTTTCCTTGTGTTTGGACCATGAATCAGTCTCCCATGTATTCCCCCACAAAGATTTTCTTTGTCTTTACTGGAAAATGAGTCAGTGACCTTTAGCCAGCAGCCTGCCCCTCTGAAGTTTGCTCAGCGCTATGCTAAAGCCATCATCATCCAACTGGTCTTTTGGGCTTTTTTTCTAGATTAATCAATCAGCGCCTGATGGAGGAGCAGAGTCAGGTCGAGGAGCTACAGAAGAATCTCCAAGAACAGGATTCCAAAGCAGACGATGTGAGTAACGAAATGTTTGTTCTGCAGTATGGGTGCATAATGCTGATACCAGTAAAATGTTGGCAACAACCACAGAAAATCAAATTGCCATTGTACCACATTTATTGAATAAAAATGGTCTTCAAGACTGCAGTACACAGCTCCTCCCTAAAGACACAAGACTTTGATGTTTATTTTAAAAAGTAACTTGCGAAAGTTTCGTGTACACACCTGACCCGGTGTAAAGAAAACAGTTAAAATCACTTTTCATTTCATTTTGTTGCAACTAACTCTTCCTAACAATAACCATTTCTAACCCTCATTGTATGCATGATGGTGTTTTCTGTTTGTGTGTTCGCTGTCACATTGTTTTATGTTGTAGCTATTGATAGCATCAGTGAATGTATTACATGTTAGATTAGCAACATACATTTGTTCTTGTTCATTTTAACATACTTAACTTGTGTTTCATCTGACACTCACTTAAAACAAACTGGAAATTTTCATCGCTTTCTTCTCTGTTCCTTGTCTTCATCAAACCAGTTCCTTGTAGGAGACAACTGGTATTTAGGATGGTTTGGATCACCTCCCAAGAAGGTTTATGTGTGAGAAAGAGCTTGCATTGCATGTTTAACTCCATCTTTCTTTACTCCATAATTAACCCTGATTTAAAAGACTGAATTTTATTTTCTCTGGTGGGTTTCTGGGTCCATTCCTGCCAGCCTGTGTAGATTTTGCATCACCAGTGTTGTCAGTCTTGCTTTAACCATGTGTCTTCTTCACTCAAGATGAACACAACACCTATTTTCAGCATTTAGACCACTTATATTTAGTGTTTTATAAATGCATGACACTATAAAAACAAGCAGAGAATGGAAATACTGGTTTCCATAATGCATTATTACAATAATGGAGGAAGTAAGTAAATCAGTACAGTTTCAGTCAGGTGAGGAGCTGGTGCTTCGAACGTCAGCTGCAAAGACGACAGATAAACACACGGATGTAAAACCATCCACATTTGGCAGGTCTGTGATTTTTGCCAATCAGTAAAATACTTGTGCATTTTCTTTTCAAATAATGCTCCCACTGTCAGACAATAGTAAGTATAATTTTGTGATTCCTGTCAAGCTACTTCTCTTAGACCTTGTTCTGTCAAGGTGTTTAGATTTTTGACTTCCTGAATCATTTGTGTAACAACTCAGAATGTAATAAATCTGCACAGTGTAAAAACTGCATCATTTAATGCTAATTTTGTGTTACATACATACACATACATTTTTAGAGAATAAAATAAGAACTCCAAAATGCAATGTATAGTTTCTTTGCAAACAGAATTACAGCTCCATGCATTTGTTACACTGAGTTGTTGCACACATGCAGTAGTTACTTTTTCCTCTAGCTAGGTGTCGAGATTCTGCAGACATCTTCTCCTGGTAGAAATAGAGAGGCATCTTTAATCACCCCTTTGGCATCCTCCGTGTGTAGATTTTTCCTCTCTATAGAAACCCAGCTTTCCTCTTTTCCTGATGCTGTTTGATTTCTAGTTTAGAGATACTCTGCAGATTTCTGCTCTCACATGATTTTGCTGCACTCCCCACGGATTGCGGTACTACCTTTTTATATAAGATCACAAACCATAAAAAAATGAGTTGGAATACTGCAATAATTGTAAATATTCCTTGTGATTATCCAACCTTGAAAATCCTGTCATCAACCCCACAAACTTTGGATTTGAGGTCTGCATTACTTTTCTAATTGTTGCCTCATTTACAGTAATTCTAGCTCTCTTACTGTAGTATATTACAACTATAAACAATTTCTGTCCTACACTTCCCTCTGTTGGATGAGAAGGGAAAATATGCAGGGTTTTTTTTACATTGTGATGTTGCGATTGATCTTTGAAGATCATTTTATCCAGGTAAGAGGGCTAGCATGGTACACAAGACTGAAGTTGGCTCCATCTCCTGCCTTTACTCAACAGAGTGTCTCTTTGAAAGTTTCTAGGTTTTTTCCCAAGATTGAATTCATACCTGCGGGTTGTTTAGGTTGAAATATAATGGTCCAATTTATTTTTATTTTTCAGTCTTCCATTCTGAAGAAGAAATATGAGGAGCACATGTAAGTTATCGCCTTGCAGACCCAGAAACATGTTTGCTGTGTCAGGATAACATAAGAGATTTTAAAAGTTCATTCAGTTCTGAAATGCATCCCATGAAATATTAAACAAAACTACAGAGGCCTTAAAAATGTTTTGACTTTGGTGCTTTGAACTCTTCATCAGGGAGAAGCTACGAGAGTTGAACAACGAGTTACTGAAGAAAAATGCCTTCATCGACGAAATGGAGCCGAAATACAACTCCTCCTGTGAGTTTGAGTTCTGCAGCCTGTTGCCCTCCTTCCTCTCTGATGTTATCATTTTTTAATTTGTAATGATTTAATGTCTCATGTTGTGGTGCAGATACAACACTGAGACATAAAAATTAATTTTTTATTTTATGTGCATTGCAAAGAAAAATAAACTAAGCACAATTATGTTGTTCTGTCTCAGCCCAACGAGTGGACGAGCTGGAAGAGGCCTTGAAGAAGAAAGATGAAGACATGAAACAGATGGAGGAGAGATATAAGAAATACTTAGAAAAAGCCAAGAGCGTGAGTATAGATTTATTCCTAATAACAGGTGAACTGTCTTGTTGTGGGTCCACAAGAAAATGTACGTGATGTGATTGATTGTGTCTTCTCCAGGTGATCCGGACCCTGGACCCCAAGCAGAACCAGGGTTCAGGTCCAGAAGTCCAGGCCCTTAAGAACCAGCTGCAGGAGAAGGAGAGGATGTTGCACTCATTGGAGGTAATGTTAGAGAAGTTGGAGGGTCTGGCGAGGATAAGTGCGGACTCTGCAGCTTGTAGATCGGCTCATAAATAGCCGCTGATGAAGAAGAGTATGAAAACACAGTGGAAATAATTAGATAAATGTGTTTAGTATCTTAAAAAGCACTTGCATTGCTTATTTTTTTGTCTTACCTTTCCTGCCAACAGAAGGAGATGGACAAGACAAAAACCCAGAGAGATTACGAGGAGAAACTGATTGTGTCAGCCTGGTACAACATGGTAAGATGAGCTTTACACCCTAAAACTGTGACACAGTTTTTGACCAGTGTCACTTTTTGTAATTGGGGCACACACCAATGTACAGCTGGGATTTGATACCAAGACGAGTAATAATACACACAAGCCATAATACACAAAATTCCATAATAAAATGTAGAACTGCAAAAATTGGTCCAGTAGTTGATTAATCTTGAAGCTATTTTTTTTACACAAAATGTCAAACATTTGTCGGTTGTAGCTTCTCAAGATTGAGAACTTCTGACTTTTCTTAGTCTTACATTACAGTGAATTGAGTGTTTTGGGGGTTTTGGACTCTAAGTAGAATGAAACAAGATATTTAATGATATCATCTTGTGCTGCAGGATACTGTGTGCATTTTTCACAGTTTTCTTATATTTTCCTAACCATATCATTACCTAATAATTAAAATGATCATTAAGTTTCAGCCCTTGAGTAATACATAGCTGACCAAAAGACAGTGATACGCTTGAGCTGCAAGGATTAGTCAGTTAATCAATTAAAAATGAATCGGCAGCTGTTTTCATTGTTAATCTTTTAATTAGTTTTCATGCAAAAGTGTCAAACTGGTTCCAACTTCTTAAATGTGAGACTTTGATCGATCAATCAATCAATTAATCAATTTTATTTATAAAGCCTAATATCATAAGTCACAATTTGCCTCAGAGGGCTTTACAGCATACGTCATCCTTCTGTCCTTTGGACCCTCACAGCAGATAAGGAAAAACTCCCCAAAAAACCCTTTAACGGGGAAAAAAATGGTAGAAACCTCAGGAAGAGCAACTGAGGAGGGATCCCTCTTCTAGGACGGACAGACGTGCAATAGATGACGTACAGAACAGCTTTGATGCTTTTTGTTGTCATTGATGACAGTAAATGAAGAGGTTTGGGATTTGGACTGTTGGTCAGACAAAAGAGGCAATTCAAAGACCTGGCTTTGGGCTTTGAGACCTTGTGATTGCATTTTTCACTTTTTTTTTTATTATTACATAGACTAAACTAAATTAATCATGAAGATTATCAGCAGAACAATTGATGATGAAAATAAATGCAAGGGTCAGCCCTACTTTTAACAGTCACCAGTTGTAAAACATCAAACACTGGAAGACAGACCTACAATACATTATTTTAAAGTAGTTGTCCAGAAACATGGCTTTCCACATGTTTTATATGTGAATTTTAACACTTTTAATGTTTTTATAATATTCCTTTTATGTAGATCTGCCCCCTCCACTGACTTTTTTATGTCCAGGCTCAAAACGATGATGATGTGGTTTTCCCTGATGCATGCCTGCGTGTGTTGTGTCTATAAATGTGTGAGCTGTGTACCTGACAACCCTGTGTACCTGTGTCACCCCTATGTATGCGTTTTTTAGCATTCTATTCCTTTTGTACAGCACTTTGGTCAATGTAAGTTATTTTGAAATGTGCTTTATAAATAAATTTGAGTTGAGTAGTTATCTAGTATTGCATGGAATAAGAAGTTGTCATTCACAAGTCATGCAGGGAGGCATTTCAACCACTAGAGGGCAGCATATGCTTGTCTATAAACTTTATACATAATGTTTGCTGTTTAACACTTTAGATCAGTAGCTGGTGTTTATGTTCATGAGTTGTTAAATCAGCACTAATATTGTGTTTGAGCTAATTTGCCTTCTCATGCATCAATATTAATGCACTGATGCTCGTTGTTTCCTTGGTGACTTATTTACTCTGTGTTGTGCCCCTAAATAAGCTCTGGTTCTTCCTTTTCCCAGGGTATGTCTCTGCAGAAGAAGGCGGCTGAAGACAGACTCGCCAACACCGGTTCTGGTCAGTCCTTCCTGGCCCGGCAGAGACAAGCTACCAGCACACGCCGCTCCTACCCAGGCCACGTCCAGCCAGCTACCGCAAGGTAGATGGCAACAGGGCAGAAAATTACAGCGACAAACTACCTTACAGATCTCCTGAACTTACATACAGTAGATGTGCCTTCTTTTGAGGCACACTATTTTCATTCATTTCTAATGGACTCTCTTGTTTCCCTGTATTCTGCCTATTGATTTTCTGTTTTTTTTCTTCTTGATCAGATCCATGAGGTAGAGATGCCAGGCAAGACTGCCAAAATCTCGCACCACTTTTTTTTTTTTTTCTGACTAAGCATATTTTACCCTGACTCCTGTGATGCCAGGCTCCTACTCTTTTCACACCCCAGCATATTTAATAGGGTCTGACTAATCACCCCCAACACCTTCTCTCAACCACTGACCTTCCTCAACCTGTGCTCTGTGGCAAACCTCTGTCAGGCAGGTCATTTGGAGTCAAAGGCGGAGAAGAATCCCATTTTCCCAACAAGATACTGTCGTCTTTGTTTAGAGGAACTGCTCTGCCTGTTCATGCAGTATTTATGCACATCTCTACCTGTCATAGCATTTGAGGTTCATCTTGTTTCTCAACTGGAGTTGACAGATTTTCTGTCCTGCGTTATCTGTTTTAACTCTTACGATGTAGCTTTCAGCAGGCGACGGCAATTTTCATTCACGTGTGTCAGTGTTTGAATTGTATTTTTCAAATGGGGATAAGTTCTGCTTTGTCATTGTGTTTTGAATTTAGATCAATATTGAGCAACAGATACATTGCAGCATAGGAAGATGCATAGTCATCACATGTAAATGTCCCATTTGCTTGCTAAATGGTCTTAATGATTTCAAATAGGACGACATGATTTGGAAAAAACAGGTGACTGTTAGCTGGTAACAGTGCAGCAATAATTGTGAATGGTAAAAAAAAAGTACTTCAGCTGTTAAAGCTGTTTCAGAAGGTGCAATCCACAGCTAGCTAGATTGTGGCAAAGATCAATGTGCTGCTGCATAACTGTGTAGACTGGTTTTCATTATGTTTCTTACGGAGTCAACCATCACGCAAACTGGGAATGGCATCAGTTAACACGGTTTTAGCTTTATCAGCATTTACCAGGTTGTCCAAGACAGCACCTTATGTGCCATAGTGTTCAATTTAAATATGTGTACCACAGCATTTGGTTGATGTATCCTTGCAACACTGCAGGCTTCCCTGAGATAGTTGCTGAGGCTGTTTGGTTGCAAAAGGGATTTGGTTTGTAGATCTCTCTCAACGCCAATAAGTCAACAAGGAGCAGTTAGTTATTCAGTGTGACTTATTGTCCATATCATATTAGGATCAACTGATCGTTATCATAGTGAATTTTCAATGTGCGTTAGAAGATGTTTGAAATATTGCCTATGTCACTTTAAATATAAATCTCGATGCTTGTTGCAGCTGTTCCTGTCCTCTTTAACTCATTTACAGCTCCACTCTGTTTACATTGTCATTAGAAGCCTTGAAATTAACCCTGTTTGTTTTCTGTGTACGTGCTCAGATCGAGGCCAGAGTCTTATCCTAACAGGCCCTGTCGTCTGACCGTTATCTCTCTCTTTCCTCCCTCAACAGCAATGTCACTGCATGACTGGCACACCAGTGAGCTGGCCAAGCCTTGCGCGGCCTGGGCTAGGCCGAGGCACACGATGCATGAACTCCGTGCCTGCCTACTGTTTGCATGACTTTGCATTGACCTGCGAATAACCAGCACACCAGCAGCAGCAGCAGCAGCAGCATGAGCACTAACAACCTTCTGCAGTGTCATGCATTGTAACCTCCAGGCAAGGCCAGAAATTAAAACTCCTTTCCCTCCCTCCTCCAGCTCCTTTCTCCTCATGTCCTCTCCGTTCTCCTACTCTCCTTCATCTCTCCTCACCCTTATCTCTTCACGGACATGCCTGCTTGTGCTTTCACACCGCATCAAGTCTGTCGGAACTCAACTTATGTTACAAACACCAAGGACAGGGGCAGAAAATTGCAGCATAGTCTCTCCATCAGGCAGTTGATCTATTAATAGGCCTTAGTGTGTAACTTGACGTTGGCTGGCTGCTTTGGGATACCTCAATGACATATTTCCACATATCTGTTACACTTACATGGTTTGAGGAGAGTCTGAATCAGTATGAGAGAAATATTTGAGAGGTGTAACCTGCAAATCAGTCTGCGCAACAACAAAAAAAAATCCCCCCTTTAAACTTCTAAGTATTTCCTGCAGTGGTTCTGCCCAGCCTCTCCTCAGCATGTTGCTAGATGGCCTCTTAGAAGTGGTTTTACCTCAAGTATTAGTGAGTACAACAAGGAGAGCTTACGGGGCATTACTGTGTCGCCCTGTAGGCTTTTGGACAGTTTGCAGTAGGAGCATAGGATGGCAATTTTTTTTTAATAAACAGCATTGTTACAGATATGCTTTTATACAGGTTAAAAGCCCTCATTAAGCCTGCTTGCAGTTTTTCTTAATGTCAGCATAGCATCTATTTCTCGATAAAACGCACATGTAATACACGTTTATATGGTGTTATGTTATTTGCCTATGTAGCAAATAACCTGTGGTGTAATTGAGCCAAACACAACGATGCATTTTGTCCCACGTTATACACATTTTACTGTGAAACATGAATTTGATTGAATAGTTGCCTGAAACAAAAAAGAATAAAAAATGAGGACATGAAGCTGTACGTTAGCTTGCGCAGGCTAATGTGCAGTACATTTTATTAGCTTAAAGGGCTAACTATTTTAAAAACCCATAAAGGGAAAGGATCCTGTCAGGCAGTTTGTAGAGACCCTGCATTCCTTTTACAGTGTTACAGTGTTTTGTGAATGCAGCTTAACCGAACAGTTATGTGAAAACCACTTTTGGTATTAATAGAAGAAGCCCTGCTGACCAAGTTATAGTATCAGTAATAAGGAAACTTAACTTGATGTTGCTGTAAATCATTCTGTGTAGCTTTTTAAAAAAAAATAAATGTCTTATTTAAAATTTATTTCAAGAAAACAAAAGTTATGTCAACAAAAAAGGGTGAGAAAGACTGAAAATTAAAACCTGGACCTAAGGATATGCATGTTACAGGCATAAGTGCATACATTTTTCAAATAAGAGAGATGGTTGAATCCTCCCATTTTAGTGCCTTTGTGTAAAATATGATATTAATAAGACTGGCTGGTCTTTTTAGGACTGAAGGCAGCAAGGTGTCGCCTTTAAAGACCAGTTTTATTGTGTTATTTGAAAAGACAACAACAAAAAAAGTCAAATTACGTCAGCTTAATGAGGGCTTTTCTCTGTATTTTAACCTTATTTTACTCATAAATGTTATATTGTGTAACCTTGGTTTAATTCATGCCGTGCATTTTTATCTAAATGGCTTATTTATTCTTTTGCCGCTTGTACAGCAGTGTTGTTACATTTTTTTTATATTAGTAGTATTATTATATCACCACTTATACTGTTACAGTGGATGTGAAGTTTCCATACGACATCAAGATACTGTTAAATACTTGTCTTATGCAACAAAAGGAGGAGATGGTTTGAGATGGTGTAGTGTTTGTCTCCATCTCATGAAAATGACGGTGTCATCTGAGATCACTGAAATGGAGAAAACAGTGCGATTCCATTTACCTCCAGTCTTTTCAGGAGTTTCAAAAAACTTGTTTGAAACTGAATGTTTTCTCATTGACTTAAAAAGCACATTTTTACACTTTCAATTCACTGTACTGTAGGTGAATTTACTGTCACCCTACAAATGATCATATTTTCCAGTGTTTTAGCGACAGCAACAAAGACGGCGGCCATGTTTATGGGAGAAGGCTTATTAGCTGTTGGGCATTTGTAACTGCAACGTTAGCTCAGATGTTTGGTTTACTTATCTTGATTAAAAAATTCCACATTTTGGCCTCCAATAAATTAGTTTCCCAGAAGTGAGAGGTGAAATAACATTTGCAGTATGCAGCTGCTAAGTCAATACGTGATGTTTTGTCCAGTTCTCGACTCGTTTATGTCCAAAGCTGTGTTTCGTAAACCACTTGCCATTAACATCTAGCTGTAAGTTATATTACACAGAGCTCTTTTAACCGTCCATCCCCAGGAGTCATTGGTTTGGTAAGAAATCTGTATATAATGGAACACATCCACCCTGTGGTCGACCTGTTTAAATTTATATCAGGGATGTTGGGGAAACATTTTCTGTTATTTAATATCTCCCTAAGAGAAAGCATATTTCACTTTCCCCTTTAACCCCCCATCAAGCCAGCCACTGTATTTTGATGCCTATATGTGTCTGTGTATATACTTAATATTACTGGCATATGATGAGATGCTGGGGGGAAAATATCTCAGTAAAATAAACTTCAGAAGCCAGCTAGTTTGGGCCATTTTCAGACCATATTAATGTCAATCTCTTATAAAGAAGGAAAGGTAACATCTCAATGTACTGTTTAAGCTATAACCCCAAATCTTACTTTGATATTCATGTTTGAGAACAAAATCCTGAACAAAGAGTGCAGTTATCTTTACAAAACCCGGTCATAATGTGGTGTATTACTTACATGCCTAAGCTAAATGAGTACCCAGTGTTCCCCAGTGTTACTTGACTGCTAATTGCACCGTCAAAAAGTGTATTAGAGAAATGAAACAAACAACACCAGGCTGTTCACAGGTCAGAATCCTCTCACTATGCGTGCAGTGTTTGCTGTATTTTTTTACTCATTGGAAAACTTTTCTTTACATATTGAAGTAGCAAATAACCTTCCATTTGCCAAGTTTTATATTGCTTGTATACAAACACACTATGTACATACTAAATGTGACAGTGGTAGAGGAGGTGTCGGGCCATTTGAGCAATGAGAAAATGAAAACTCATGTCAAGTTTGATGGATTTCATATAGCATCTGTCCGACGAGGACCTATTGATGAAAATGTGCTTCCTACACTGCAAAACTTGGAAATGACATTGTAAATAAAGCTTGTATAAAACAGGCTGCTTGTCTGTTTTTCTAATATTTAAAATCATGATGACCAGTGTTGTGCTATTAGAATTGTTTCTTGTTTCTGGTTTCATAGGTTAAGTTTATTTAAGGTGGACACACGAGGACTAAAAGTGGACTGTGGGTATATTTGAATCCATGATCTCAAATGCCATTGTTTGCACCCAAAACTGATTGATATTTTTTAAATAGTGATTCGAAAGACGGTGCATTTATGCCATTATTCGAGTTTAAACAAGGATTTTTGTCTTTTATGTTCTTTGATTTTCTTTCATTAAAAAAAACTGCACAATGAAACTTTATTTGATGACTGTTCAAATGTGAAGAAATTCTGATCGTCATATTGTAATTTGAGCAAATTTCCCTTAATTTTCTCAAAAACTGTGCCGCAGAATGTCTTGAAATTTTATTCTGAACATGACTTCTTTGAAATTTTCGGTTTTATCTTATCTTCGAGCTCCAAGTACTGGTACCATAACGGAACTGATAGACGCACATCAAAATCCAAACACCGGCTAGCTTGACCCCAGTGTTTTGCAGTGCTGCTTTTGTGCTGCAGTGTCAGTGTCCTCTTGTCGCGCCATGACATCTTCAGTTATAAATTTGATTTTCTCTGCGTAAGATGTGTGTCGTTAGAGCGTGTGAAAAGTGGCAGTTGTGTGAGCCTCACGATCAATGCATGAAAGTTGGCAGCCCTGTATATTGTCATTTTCGCCTGCAACAGGCTCCTGTTTACAGTAAATACGCTCTTAAAAACCCACTGTACACTGCCTGCCCTACACCAGACTGCAGACACAGTTATCAACTAGCTGGTGAACATAGTGGAGCGTTTAGCAGCTAAAGAGACAGATATTTCCCTCAGGAGTTGGTGGAGACCGAAAACAGAGACAAAAAGAGCGAATATTGGACTTAGGGTGCTTTCACACCTGCCTTGTTTGGTTCGGTTCAATCGTGCTCAAGTTTATTTGTCCCCAAAGTGCGGTTTGTTTGGGCAGGTGTGAACACAGCAATCACACTCAGGTGCACACCAAAACAACCGGACTGAGTCCTTCTTGAAGAGGTGGTCTCAGTCCGGCTACAAACTAAATTTGGTGCACTTTGTTTGTGGTAAGAACGTGTTCCGACCCCAATCCGAACCAACTGCAGTCACGTGACACATTGTTTGGGTTAAACATGAGCATGTTACAGTCCTGGAGGATTATTAATGTGCACCTCCTCCTGTACTGCCTTAATATGCACATTCAGCACATCCAATGCATCAAAACATTGTTTTCTAGTTGGAGCCGCGCCTCGTTTTCAAACTGTATGGTTTGACTAAAATGAACAATGACAGCAATATAGTCCACGATGAGCAGCGCTAAAATCAACCTGCGTAGTTGCCCCTCCATTGTAACATTAGAAAGTGTCACATTTATCTTGCAAGTGTACTCTTCTTCAACGTTTTGTTTACTCCCTGGATTTTTCCCACATGGAAATTCTGACCAATCAAGAGCAGCTTTCTCATGCGAGGCATTTGATCTGGTCCGCTTGTAAATGCTGCTGTGAGAACACGAACCAGCTCTAGGCAATTATAGAACTTTGTAACAAAATAACCCCCTGATTCGGACCAAAGCAAGACAACTCTAGGTCTGAAAGCAGCCTAATATTTTCCGGGTAGCCTGAAATCCGAGGTAAAGTGAAGGATAATAAGCACCTGTTTTTCTAACAAGTTAGCCATATAAACTGAAACACTAACATGTCAGTGTGATACACATGTTTCTGCTGCCCCCAAGTGGCCAAAAAGAAAAAAAAATATTGCAGGTACAAAGCATGACTAACCCAAATCCAGTTTCCATGGCCGACGGTGGAGATTTACACCCACATCCAGGAAGGGATCAGGATGAAAACCTTCGGGGCAGGTATGTATGTGACACACACAATCCTTAGGTTGCAAATAACAAAAAACAAAAACAGTCACGTTGAGGCCTGTGGTAATAATTTGAACACTTCCTTTAGCTGCCTCATTAAACCCCTTCCAGCAGTGCGTCTTTGCTTTCATTAGATCATTAGACAGATGAGATTGTATCCCAGTCAGGCATGAAAGGCAGATGATGGAAGAAGTGACTGATTGTTCTGATGTGTCCTTTAAAGAACCCACAAACCACGATATGTATGACTCTCATTTTTAATGCAGACCCAGGCTTGGACTTTGAATTACAGTATATGGCAAATAAGGAAACAGGTCTCCCCTAATAACAGCTTCCCTGACCCACCATCCTGCCTTTGGTTTTAGCGCTTTACCGCTCTTGGTAATGCAGTACTATTCTGTTTGAGCTATGTGTCATGGGTGAATTCTGATTTTCAGTATCTGCTTCTCCTGTGAACTCAGTCTGTGTGCACAAATACATCCTTGCCTGGGAAATGAAGCCTGGATGCCCCTCGAGGCTGCGGACACAGGAACTTCCCTGTATCAGTGTCCCATTCTTCATTCCTGAGAGCTTCTTTCTCTCGCTAACCTCAGCCTCTGGGTGCTTCTTCCTGACATTTCACAGGCAGAGGTCCAGAGTCAATAAAAATACACGTCTCTGGTTTCCTCTCTCACTTCCATCGTGATGGGTCGGACTGGGAGCAGGGGAGGCGGTGTTTGCAGTCCACTGGGTTGATATCACGTTCCATACCTGGGTCAAGTCGTGTGTTGATAGTTATTTATCCTAGCTAGGTCCCAAAAGTTTAGACAGTAATGCTGAACTGTCATTAATACTGTCCACTGTTTGACTGTTGGTGATGTTGTTTGCAAGTGTGCACATCACTGTGGTATTTAAACACGACCGTTCTCTTGATGACAATTAATAAAGTTTGTTTATCCTGCTGCAGCACTTTGAGAGATGCATGGATTACTGCTCATCAATCCTGAAGGGATGTGAAGATGATGGAAGGTAAAACAATGATTCAGTACAGCAGTGTCCTGGCAAATTATTTATTTTTATGTTAATAGGTTGGTCAAACTTGTAAATATTCATGACTCCAGCGGTGGTATTGATGCTGTCAAAGGCTGCTGACTGGCCCCCAAGCACAGCTGCTTTTTAGACATCCACCAAATCCACCTTTTTCTTAGAACGATATACTGCAACAATTATCAGACAGATTGCCATTAAATTTTGCACAGACATTCCTTGCCCCCAGAGGATGAACCCTACGAACTTTGGTAATCACCTGTCTGATCCTGTAGCGCCACCATGAGGTTGGCATTTGTGTCTCCGAGTGAAGGGTCTTGACAACTAATAGATGGATTATTACAAATGCACAGACAGAATGAAGAGACAAGCCCAGGAATGAGTCCTAAACCCCAGAAATGAGTTAGCATTTTACCACCCATGGTTCCCTTGTCTCAGAGTCAATGGATTTTAGATGCCTGAAATAAGGTCTGTGGTTAGCACAAGCCTAAGTTACGTCACTAAATACCCCACTCATCAATTTTGTAGCTTCCATGTGTATTAAAAATGCCGGTTGCTAAAATGTGGCTAAATGAGATCACAAAGCGTCACCACACCAAGCCGAGCCAAACACGGTTTGACAGTCATGATATGGTGGTGACATTAGGCTATGCAACTGTCGTGTAATTTGTTTATGGCCTAATGGTCAGGGGATCATTGGATACTTAGAAGCATTGTTGTGACTATAAGTAGGCTACAGTCTAACAGAGCTGTTACCATGGCTGTAGACTCTTAGCCTTGTTAACCTGTGTATAATATACCTTCATATCAACACTCACTGGCCACTTTATTAGGTACAACATGCTTCCAATTTTGGTTAGCCCGTGCGAATCGTAGCCTCAGTTTCCCAGTGTGGTTGTTGGTTCAGAGATGGTCTTCTGCAGACCTTGGTTGTAACCAGTGGTTATTTGAGTTACTGTTGCCTTTCTATCATCTTGAACCAGTCTGGCCATTCTTCTCTGACCTCTGCATCAACAAGGCATTTTCACCCAGAGAACTGCTGCTCACTGGAGTATTTCCTCTTTTTGGGACCATCCTCTGTAAACCCTAGAGATGGTTGTGCGTGAAAATCCCAGTCGATCAGCAGTTTCTGACAGACCAGCCCGTCTGGCACCAACAACCATGCTGCGTTCAAAGTCACTTAAATCACCTTTCTTCACCATTCTGATGTTTGAACTTCAGCAGGTCGTCTTGACCATGTCTACATGCCCATATGCAGCGAGTTGCTGCCACATGATTAGCAGCAACTCAATGCATTTAGGCACTTTCTCATTTCACAGCTAAACAGTACACTAAAATATATTTCTGATAACATTTAAGGCAAGAAATATGCAATACAGTAAGAGAATCTTGATTCATATTTGATCAGCGCTGCCTAACTTGACAGTTTGACTGCAGTTAAACTACCAGCACCAGCTTTAACATTTATTTACTGTATTTCCAGTTTGCTCCATTTTGTCATCAGGATTTCAACAAATCAAAGGAGAATAAATGAGGTCAGGGAAATGAATGAGAAAATAACATTACAGACAGACAGTGAGTCATGAATATTATGAATAGGGTGGACAATCAGCAGCACTGACTCGATTCAACTCCTGTGGTCCAGACAAAAGCCCCCAATTTGTCTACTTTTATTTGTAACACAACCGCAAGGTGCCTGATTCATTATTGTTTCATGATGGTCAGACATTCGCTCAAATATTCCATTACAGATGTAGAGATGAATTAAACATGAATTGAATGAATCTGAAACAACCAACCCCTGCGTAGATAGAACTATGTACATGGATTTTGCCACTGAGATGCACTGAATCAGAATGTGCTGGAGGTTGACTTAACGTGGCCTGGATGTATTTTCATTGGAAGAACAATTTGACACCTTTAAAGCTTAGACACTATGTCAGCTAAATGGCAATGCTGAGGGTGCAAAGAATGTACAGTACACCCATTTCACAGAACATTGTTGCTCTTACCAGAAAATGCTGCCAGAGTAAGAACATTGTTTTTAATATCCAAAGAA